CGCTGGAAAAGTTGGAGGAAGATCCACATTTTTATCGAAAAATTGTGTTCAGCGACGAAACTCATTTCTGGTTGAATGGGTACGTTAACAAGCAAAATTGCCGCATCTGCAGTGAAGACCAGCCAGAAGCATTGCAAGAGCTACCAATGCATCCCGAAAAAATCACTGTTTGGTGTGGATTATGGGCCGGTGGCATCATCGGGCCGTACTTCTTCAAAGACGACAATGGCCGGAACGTAACTGTGAATGGCGAGCGCTACCGTGCGATGATAACAAACTTTTTTTTGCCCAAAATGGAAGAGCTGGACTTGGCTGACATGTGGTTTCAACAAGACGGTGCCACATGCCACACCGCACACGAAACAATGGAGCTATTGAGAGGCGAGTTCGGTGAACGGTTTATCTCACATTTGGGGCCCGTCAATTGGCTGCCTAGTTCGTGTGATTTAACGCCGTTGGACTATTTCTTGTGGGGCCATGTTAAGGCTAATGTCTACAGGGATAAACCAGCAACGATTGACGCACTGGAAGCCAATATTGAAGCATTTATTCGTGAGATACCGGCCGATATGTTGGAGAGAGTGTGCCAAAATTGGACCTTGCGCATAGGCCATCAAAAGCGGAGCCGCGGCCAACATTTACATGAAATAATCTTTAAACATTAAATTATATCGACTGTTCTATCGACTCAAATAAAGATTTAATCGTTTATTTCTGCTTTCTCGAATCATTCTAAACAAGAAAGATCCTCAGTAGCTTTTCTCTAAAGTTAGCCGCTTTCGAGCTATAAGCCATTTAATGTCTGAAAAACAGTAAAAATGGTCATCTTCAATGATTCAAACAAAGTCATAATTTGTGTGAAAAGTGAAGCTGAAGCCTACAATACCCAGAAGAGTATTTCAAGATTAATTTATTTTAAAGCGATTTGTAATATAGTTTGTTAGGCCAAAGTTGACGAACTTTCGATTGTCGAAGACTGTACATGTGTACATACCACCTTCATTAAGTTGATGCCGAAACCAATGTTTGGCTTAAATGTGTATCGGCAGGTAACTTTTAAAATATACAGGGCGCCCCAAAGGTCATGTAAAGGGTATTGATAGGGGTCAGTTTTACCCACGGTATCTGCGTTATCACCAATATAAGAGTTTATAGAAAATCGCAATTTTTGTTTTTTTTTTGAAATTATCTTTGGTTACTTCTCAGCATCTTTTGTTATTTTTAGAGAAGGCGCCGGGAGAAGTTGGGTATGCAAAATGTGAGGACTAGCAGCTCAGTTCAGATTCTAGTGGGCCGACAAGATCCGGATCAGTGCTTCTTGACCTTTTCTCATTTGATATCTGTTCATAAAGTGCGATCCCCACATTTTGCAAACTCAATTTCTTAACAATTGTTTTGTAAATTTGTTTGCGGATGACACATTAATTTCAGTTAATGGTTCAGTAAGTAACAAACTTACTTTTTGGCTTAAAACAAATAAGATTGAATTAAATGTGAATAAAACGGAATGTATGAGATCATAGGTTCGAAAAATAATTGCAAAAAATTAGTAGATTTAAATGTACCAGTGAACATTGACTGAGAGGTACTCGATTTTGTAGATACTTTTAAACATTTAGGTATTATAATAGATCAGCAACTAACCTTCAATAAACGTGTCGGAAGATCGGGTATTTTCGTTGAATTTGTGACAATCTAAGTCCCTGGTGCGTACAATAATTTTTCCTCATTTTACTTATTGTGCACCACTTTTGAATAGATGCACAAATCAGCAAAAGCAAAGGTTAGAAATTCTATTAAATAAATGTATGCGAATTTTCTTAAATTGTAGCAGGATATGCTAAAGGCATTGAATTTTTTAAACATACGCCAAATTATCCAAGAGGAAAATTTAAATCTTTTATATAAAATTATCAATAACCACTATCCACCTTATCTTGCACAATTTCTAAAAAAAAGATGTCAAATACAAGATTACATTAGATAAAAGTAAAATTTCTATATACAAAGATTTAAATTTAAAGGTTAAGAAAAGTCAATGCTTGTTGAAAGTCTAAGAATGTACAACAATCTCAGTGCTACGCTATTCTCAGAGTGTTATTTGCAAATAAGGCTATATTATAGTACGTAAATGTACGAGAAAGCAATTGTGTGAATCTTTCTTGTTTTCAAAGATATCGTATTGCTTAGTGGTTTACTATCCCTATTTAGGTATTATAACAATAAATCGTAGTCAAAGTATTATGAATACATGTTGCAAACTTGTAAATGGTCTCAAAAAGTATGATCATATATCGAATGCTATTAATAAACTTAAATGGATGAAAATTGATAAAATATATAAGTACCAGCTCCTAAATCTGACTCATAAGGTACTTTATTCAAAAACACCGTCATATTTAGTAAACTAATTCATACGTAAAGGGAATATGCATGTCATTAATATTGGATATAGAGGGTTTGAAAGTGCAAGTTTGCAAATGTAAGATAAATTATAAACCCCTCAGTAGGTGATGTTCAGTTAATATAATCACATATGGATTACAAAAGTTGCAATAAACATGGAGAAACCTTGAGCTAAACTGAAAAAAAAAATGGATTTTACTCAGACATCAAGCATTTTTTAAATGTTGGCTCAGTTTTATATAATTTCATAATATTTGATAAACTGGAAACATTTCAATGGCAAGCTGTCACTTTGAATACTTTGATGCTATTTGCTGCCAAAAATTTGACGGAGATATCTTGAGGCTGATTGGGTATATTTGACAGATTGTTTGGTACTCGTACCCTATTGGTGCAGAATAATGGTTTGTTAAATTGTGAAATCGGCCGATAGAGAGACTTTTTCAATTCCACGGCATATCTCTATTTCAGAATACACATATTTACAATGCGATCAAATCATATAGTTATTTAGACCGCAGTTTAAAAGAAACCAATCCATTACCCAAATTCAAGAAAAAAAGTGAAAGAAGTTCTACTTGATCAGCAGCGAAATCTGTTGTAACCCATAAGTGGCCTTATATTTTTTTCTTATTCCTTTACTTAGATTATACTTTATTCTGTCGTTGTTGTATACAGGTATTAATTTTCAACAAATTCTCAGTTTTTTTTTATTTTTTTTTTATACATCTCGTATTGTTAAGGGTGTTAGATGGTAGGATAAATATATTATCTAAATCTCGCCTCCTATAATAGTATTACAAATAAAAGACGTTAATTATCATTTTTATTTATGTAAAAACATCTAATTATGTTAAAATTTTCAAAAAGACACTTCGAAGATTCTATTTTGGTTTGATGTTGTGATGACCAGTTTGTAAATAATATTTATTATTATTTGAAGTAGCTTAAAGCTAAATAAACCCTTTTCTATTCTATTCTAATCCTGTCCAGCACCTGCACAAAAATAGTGACATTAAATGCGCACAAAGTTTTGAAATTATCAAAAGACCATACCCAGTTGTTTGCTTTCCATCTGTCTGTCTCCGAGGCTAGACCTATACCATAGTGACGAGTTCATAATGAGCACGAAAAAGCGCTCTTTGCGATTGGTCATGGTTATAGAGAAAGCAAACATATCCAGTTCAGTCTAATTATATTGTGTTCGACATACTGAAGACTGGACATGTTATTCTGTATATCGATCAACCTTTCCAGTATCATAAAAACGAAGGAGTGCTAGTGCTGGCCATGTAGAGCATCATTAAATTAAAATGTGATGAATGTGTTTGCTGTTCTGTTTGCCCGCATACAAAGCGCTTCCATTTTCAAAAGTGTAGGTCGGACTTAACGTACTGGAAAATGTGAAGAAAGGTTCGTCTTGGAGGAACAACATTGAAAACATGGATGGATCTTAAATCGATACTTGAGAAGCACTGAAATTGGTATTGTGGAACATTAAAAATTATATTGGATATCTTGTGTTGTTCCTAGCGTTGGTGTCGTAATAGATTTCTTTCCTATTGGGTAATAGATTCACACTCATTGGTAATAGATCTTTCCCAAGAAATCGTAATAGATTTATACGGAAGTGTTTTAGATGACCAATTCCAAATTTTCCCTGGATTATATATTTTGAGGTGTAATTAAAGCAACACAAAAGAAGTAGCCTATATTTTCCATAAAATTATTTCCTGCATGTAATTCATTTTATTAATTAAATTATTTTCCCCACTCATTTCACATTTTATATTTACTGCTCAGAAGCTCCTCATCAAGATGTAGAAAGCTAGGTGCCTCCTACGATTTGAGAAGTGAGATAAAATGGCTTATTGCGATTTTTTGAGCCTGTCACTTTACCTCCAAGCCACTGGGCGAGGAAGTATTGTAATTGCGAAAAATTTCGGAAATGAGTTATGTTTTCTCTGTGACGGGAAAAAGTTTATTTTATCTAGGTAACAAAATGTCACTTTTGATAAAATTACTTTTTTCCCGGATTTGTGGAAGAACAAAAATTGGCTTTTGCACCATGATAACCCCCATTGCTCATGCATCGTTACTTGTGCGCTAATTTTTGGCCAAAAACAACACTCCAATAATGCCTCACCCACCATATTCCCCAAACCTGCCCTCCTGTGACTTTTTCTTGTTCCCGAAACTGAAGAGGCCCATGAAATGAAGACGCTACGTCACGATTGAGGAGATAAAGACGGCATCGAAGGAAGATCTGAACAAGATCACAAAAAATGATTTTTCAAAATGTTTTGAGGATTGGAAAAAACGTTATCACAAGTGTATAATGCCTGATGGGGATTACTTTGAACTGGACAAAATAGATAGTCATGAATAAATAAATGATTCTTAAAAAACATGAAATTGGCTCCTTCTGTACTTCGAATTCTGACCAATTTGGTAAGGATGAAAAACCTATTAGGTAATGGAATCAGGCCAGTGGCGGTGGGACTTGAGAAAGAGAAGGTAAAAAACATTTGTCGCGCTTGATATAAAAGTAGATAGTAGTCGACGATTACTTGACACAACTTTTACTTGTTCCAGGAGATAGCAGCAGCGTCGTGTGCGACCCAACCAGTGGTGGCGGTACGACGGCGGCGACGGGCGCGCAATCCCGTCTGTCCGCCAATGCGGGTGTCGTGTCCGCAGCTACCGGAAGTACCGCACTGGGTACCACCGGACCAGGCACCACTCCGGTGCGGGAGTGCGCTGGATGCGGGAAACGGATCGTTGAAAGGTGAGGAAGATTTTTAAATTCAACGATGAAGATGTGATATTTTGTTTCAGCTTATCGTACGGCACTATTAACTTTGTCTATGCAGATCCCACAGTAGACTGCGTTAACAGTACCGCACGATGGATCTTTCTCTCTTTTGTCGTTTTGCCACTTGAGTATACAATGGGTATGCAGGGTGATGCTTCTGACCAAAAAGCAACGCTAGAAGTTCTTGTAAACAAGGTCCTAAAATACATCCTTACCGATGTAAAAAAATATCTACAATGCATAATGAATGTACAGTCGACCTCCGGTAATCCGACAAACATCATGCAGGGCAGTGTCGGACTATCGAATTTGTCGGATTATAGAGCACTGCCTAAGACCCCCTATAGTCCAGAATTTTTTACAAAAGAGTACCTTGTAATCCGACAAATTACATATCCAATGGTAAGATTATATATGCTATGTAAATGTATGTACTTTGAAGTGCAAATCATACATAGTTTATGTATGTCGAATTTAGTAAATTAAATAACAATAGAGAGCTTACGTTTTATTATAAAATTAAGCATAAATGCACATACATATGTAGCAAAATAATCAGGAATTATTTATTAATCAAAATCATTAATGAATTTATCAAATTATGAAGCTTGGAAATATTCATCAATTTTTTTTTGTTTAAGGTTGTTATAACGCGAGATCAGAGCTTTGTCCCTCAGTCTTCTCAACAGTAAAAGTTCGTTGTAGGATGTACCATTCTCTTCAGCCCATTGTAAACCAAGCTCAAAGGCATTAATTGCGTCTTGTGCTGTGACTTGTGGAGCAGTTGCAATCACGTCGTCGTTATTTTCCTGATTGTTTGTTGTATAATTAGAAACCTCTTTTATAATCTCTTCATCAGACATTTCATGAAAAACATTTTCCTCTTTATCCATTCCACGGCACCAGATTTCAAAATCTTCCGGACTTATCTGTGTTTCAGTAGCGACTTGTTCTATAACTAACGTTGCTAGGAGTGGTGACTATATCTGGCCATAACTTTTTCCAAGACGATTTAATAGTTGATGGCGGTAACGCATTCCACGGCTGACAAAGAGCAAAAACCAAGTCTTTTATATTAAATTCTTTTAAAGTTTATTCTATTGGTTAGTCTTTTGATACGGCTCTCAGAAGTAGGTTTTTCTTATAGTCTTGCTTAATAAACTGAATGATATTCTGGACCATTGGTTGAATCAGTGCAGTGCAATTTGGCGGAAGAAACATCGCAGTGATGCATTTATCCTCAGTTGTTAGTTCTTCTTCAGACGAATGACCGGGAGCGTTATCAAGAAGCAAAAACGCTTTTTGAGGAAAATTATGATCTTTTGAACATTTTCTAACTTCAGGTACGAAGCATTCATCAAACCACTTTTTGAAAAGGTCTTTTGTCATCCATGCACTTTTTTTTGTCTGAAATAGTGTACAGGTAAATCAATGTTTTTGAATGCCCGTGGTTTATTAGATTTCCCAATGACCATCATCTTAAGCGCGTGTGTGCCCGCAGCGTTAGCACATGGTAGTATGGTTACACGCTCTTTACTTACTTTTCGTCCAGGTACGGATTTTTCGTTACGAGAAACGAAAGTTTTGTTAGGCATCACTCGCCAAAAAAGCCCTGATTCGTCTGCATTGTACACCTGTGACGGGTCAAGATTTAAATCGTTCACCTTTTGCAAAAATCTTAATTTAAAGTAATATTCATTAAACGTATGCCATGACGACTTTTAAAACGTTCTAGCCATCCTTTGCTGGCCACAAAATCATCTTTTTTGTTGTTTCCTTATAAAAAAACTTAGCTTTCATGGCCAACATGGGTCCTGAAATTGGTGCATGTCTATTTATTTCCTGAAGAAACCATATGTACAAAGCTTCTTCCACTTCTGGATGTTCAGCTTTCTTGAGTGTCTGTCTCTTGCCTAGTCCGCAGTCAGTAGTTGACACGAACTTCTTGATCTTCTCTTGGTTTCTTTTAATGTCACAAATTGTAGATCGGCCTACGCCGTATTCACTTGCTAAACCACTGAATGTTTCATTGCGATTTAAGCGGTCTAAAATATCACATTTTTCTTTAATTGTCAATGTTTTGTGCTTCCGCTTCTGAGTTTGTGATGACATTACTAGGTACTATACTTAATACACAATGAATAAATAGTAAACAATGAACGCACGCTAGGCCGTACCGCTATCACCAGTAGTCAAATTCAAACTAAGTCAAACAATGCTTACGCGTCGTTCACGATAGCCGTGGCGCGTACAAGTTTTAACCTGTTCAAACCTGCGTGATCTAGATTAGCGAAGATTGTCAAATACGTATGTATGTAATACATATTCAAAGACATGTCGGATTACAGGGGGCGCCGGATTAGAGAGGGGCCGGATTATCGGGGGTCCACTGTATTCTCCTTTATCTGCAATATATAATGCATATGCAATAAAAAAATAATGGAGCATCAGATATAAAATACCTTGGAATACTCCTGAACCCACACGTGCATTTGGATGTTCATATTTCATATATTTTAAAAAAGGTTAGATAAAATATGTCTCGTATAAAATTGGGTACATCAAAAATGGGGAGCTAAATGCTCATATTTATGATTTGGATATTTTTCAAAAAATGTTTTTAAAAACAATGTTTGACGAACCAGATCATGTCCAACTGACATCTTATGTAAAGATGCACGCTTATATGACTTAAAACATTATCTCTTTATTAATTAATTTATTAATAACGACATAAAAATTAGTCACAATCACAACACAAGGCATAAACTAAGAGGAACAGAAATTATACGTAACGATATAAGGGGCCTACGCTTTGGGGATAATTTCAAGAAAAAATTAAAAGAATGGATTTTTTCTCTGCCAAGAGAGACGTACATGTACACAAATTAATAGTAGATGTAAACATCAAATAATTCGTTGGTTAGTTGTATCTTTATTCATATTTCAATATGTACAGGCAATGCCTCCTATGGACTCTTGTTTCATATTTATTTACTCATCCTTTATATTGTGTTTTAGGAGTAAATAAATATTATTATTTTTGACTTAAACCTGGAAAGAGATAAACATCTTTTCTACGTGACTTGTTAAAAATCCGATGACTGTAGCGTTTCCGAATAAGGTATTTAACGTTAGATTAATCTTGAAAAATTAATCTGTTCTATTTGATAAGACGGTGCAATTTCAAAATTGCAAATTGTATATTTCTAAAAATGTATTTGGAAAATGTACCATAGTGGTGCCTTCCTACCCTTCATTTTTGTGAAGAATTAGGACTAGAAATTCGGGCGTTTTTCCAATATCTGTCCACTTGTGGGCAGAGCAAAAAAAGTTTAAGTGGGAGGGGGATGCACCAGTGCTTCTGAAAGCGAAGACGCTTGTGACAATTGAAGAGCGGGGAGGGGAGTGCCCTGGATCTGCCCTTGAGAGAGGTGAAGGGGGGTTACATTGTTTTATTACACACGTAATAACCTGAGCGGTTCTTAAGTAAGTATGCATAAAAGATGCATATTGTAGGAAAAAAAGGATCTTATTGAAGGCTCAAATGGTTCTGACGTACTGGTCGCTGCTAGTGCAACCACGCTCATTGGAAAACAGGTGTTTATTTGGGAGAACTAGTTAAAACTCGTGAGAAGAAAAATTCATCAGAATGTTCATCCAATAGGTAACCGTAACCTCAGATGCGTTCATAAATCGCTTAAAATATTTTCAAAAACTAAATTGTCGAATAGGAATACAAACATTTCTTTTTCAAATATATCGATTACTTGAATTCGGTATTTCGAACTCTTGTCGTTTTTATTCAAGGATTTGAGCCCTCGTCAAACTGCCGCCCGTTACAATTTTCCCAGTTTAACCCCCTCCCCCTTAGGTCCGATACTGCGTTACACAGGAAGCTTGGATATATTTCCTACTCTAAAACTGTCTTTTTTTTATATCGAAAACAGCCGCGCAGGCAGAAGCCTAAATGCCGGAACACCGCGGCTGCTATGATGATCCCAAAGAAATTTTGTTAATACGATTTTTGAACTGCCTAAGGTTAGTAGAACTGGGAAAAGCTTCCTCCCGTAGATTGTTCCACAATCTAGACACCCTCGGGACAAAGGAGCGGTCGTATCGGCCAGTTCTAGATGTACGAAGTTTGACACGGTTAGGATGGGACGCCGAAGTCAGGCGGGTCTGTCTGGCAGGCACATCGCGCGGCGGCATCATGGAAGAGAGCTCTGAGGAGCAAAGCCCGTTGGTGTAGCGATAGAAAAGAGCTAGATCGCCGACGGTGCGAAAGAGTCCCGAGACTGTCTGTTAGAGAAGAGTCGTCGATCAGTCGGACCGCCCTCCTCTGGAGAGCATCGAGCATGGACAATGTAGTCGGGGCGGCAGCACCCCAAATGTGTGAGCAATACTCGAGGCTAGGCCTTATCTGGGCCTTGTATAGAGTGAGAATGTCATGCGGAGAAAAGTACTTCTTAGCCCTAAACAAATAGCCTAGCTTTTTCCCAGCAGCTGCAGCTATTGAAGAGATGTGTTCGTGCCAGATCAGGTCCTCGGTAATCTGGACTTCGACCAGCCGAAATGAATGGCTCTTTGGTAGAACTCGACCGTCCATCGAAACTGTATGAGCGCTAGGACGCTTTTTGTTCGTCAAAGTACAGTACTGTGTTTTGGAAGCATTGAACTGTACAAGATTGTTGCGTCCCCAAGCAGTGATAGCCTCCAGGTCTCTTGTCAGAGAAGAAGTCGTCGCTAGTCTTCTTTTTTCCAGCTCAGCGGCAGAGATCGGCTTGTCACTCTGAATTCCTGCATGTAGAGTGCTGTCATCAGCGAAGCTGTGGATTGGGTTGATCGTGCAGGAAAGGAGGTCGTTGATATGTAAGAGAAACAGTGTTGGAGCCAAGACCGATCCCTGGGGAACACCCGCGTTGACGTTGTGGGATGAAGAGGAGAATCCGTCAATTACGACGGATATCTTGCGGCCAGAGATAAAGTCAGCCACCCATCTGCAAAGCTTTTCTGGGAGGCCATAGGATGGAAGTTTGCTTAAGAGGGCAGCGTGCCACAGCTGATCGAACGCTTTCGTGATGTCAAGAGCAACGACATGAGCCTCACCATGAGACTGGATGAGTTTACTCCACAGTTGCGTGACGTAAGCTAGGAGGTCCCCTGTGGATCGTTGGTGCCGGAAACCGTACTGCCTGTCGCTAATCAAGCTGTGACGTTCGAGGTAGTCCAGAAGCTCGCGATTTATGCACCTCTCCATCACTTTACTTATAACAGAAAGCAGAGCTATAGGCCTGTAGTTGTAAGAGTCGGTTTTAGATCCTTTTTTTGGGATGGGCTGTACATGAGCAAATTTCCAGTTTTCTGGGAAGGTGCCGGATTCATAAGATATCTGGAAGAGACGCGAAAGAACTGGAGCAAGCTCCGCTGCACATCTCTTCAGTACAATGGCAGGAATCAAGTCCGGACCAGAAGCTTTGTTGATGTCGAGCGACAAGAGCACTCGTCTTACGGTCTTATGCCTGAATGTTACCTCCCGCATAGTGTGGGGAACCCTTTGAATTGACGGCAATTGGGCGTTGGTGGGGACGTCCATGGTGGAGTTGGCAGCAAAGATCTTGGCTAGCACTTCCGCCTTGGCCTTTGAGTCGAATACAATAGTTCCATCCTGACACGTAAGTGGTGGAAGGCTACTGTGTGAAAAGCTCTTTTCAATCTGCTTGGCCAGCGTCCAGAAAGACCGACTGCCATTGCGCTGCGACATTACCCTGTGCCTAACTTTTATATCATGCTGGTTTTTGGCATTGCGAACCGCTTCGTTATATTTGTTTCTGGACTCGACGTCGGCTTGTCTGTTCTCTACAGTGGGGTTTTGTAAGTAGGTTCTGTGGGCCTTGATCTTCTGCTGTTCTGCTGCTCTTTTTATCACCTTGTATATTTTTCCAAGTATGTTTAATATATTTTCAATACCAATATAAATAGCTATTACGGAAACGAAAAATGAAGAAATAATGATATTGTTGCAGATTTCTCCTCAAAGCACTGGACCTGTTCTGGCACGAAGACTGCCTCAAGTGCGGTTGTTGTGACTGCAGACTTGGTGAGGTCGGGTCTACACTGTACACCAAAGCGAATCTCATCCTTTGTAAGAGGGACTACCTTAGGTAAGTGTGAATGGATATTATTTATAAAAATGACGAATATTTAAAAATAGTTTTGCGAAAACTATAGGCCTCGAAACGGTTTATTATGGAAATAGTTGCAAGGTTTTTTGGAATTTGTTGCTTATTTCAAACGAAAACTGTACAGCATATCAACAATTCCAGCTTAAACAGTAATTTGAGACGGTTAAATACAAAAAATTGTCTTCATAAAACAGCAGCAATGGCGGAAAACCTAATATTGGAAATAGTGGAACACCTTGGATTCGGTTTTTCTAAATGTACTTTTACAATGGATTGTTGTACCACATCAAAAATGCATCTAAATCCCATCAATCACCACTATTGAACAGGGTTTAAACAAAATTCACTATCTGTGCGAAAATCTCATATGTCTCTTCTCCTTTTAGACCAAACATGTCTCAATCTGATTACGGCATCAATAAAGATTATCAAAATATCAAAAAGTTTTAAAAAACACATCCAGTCAAGGATTATTCATGAAATAAGGAACTCGATCCATAAACGTATAGACACTAAAAATCGTTATTAAACTTTAATTTACGTATATTATGGGTGTACTTATGTTTGAAGTCATTTAAGGAGAAATACTCTGAAAACAATTAATTTTATATCAAAAATTGTCTGAATTCTTTAGCAGAATCTTACACCTAGGAAAATATAAACCTTTTACAATTAACTACATTCAAACTTATTTGAGTATTGTGTGTTTATTGTAAGATAACGATTGTTTGCATCTACGTTATTCCAATAAACATTATTATTATTATTATTCGTTTTTGGTTGGTCTTTCACCGTTACACACGGGCTATGTACACAACAGGGGAGGAATTCACCTCAGCCTATTACGAAGAACTTGCGAACTATGGACATGTTTGCAAGATTGCGGCTTTCTGCATCAATGCAATAAAATGCGCTGGAACTTTGATTTTCTCTAAGTGAGAGTGGAGATTTACAGAGACTGCCCCTTCCACAGACACTACTACTGGTATTATGCAGACCTCTGATAGTTTCCAAATGTTTTTGATTTCAATGGCAAGGTTTTGGTACTTTTCAGCCTTGGTGTATTCTGTTCTGATTATGTTTACTGTGAGTGGAACTGCGATATCAATTATGTATGCTTTCCGTTTATTTTTATCGATCAGTAGTATGTCTGGCCGGTTATAGACAACTTTTTTATCGGTTAAAACTGGCCTGCCCCAGTACAATAGGGCCGAATGATTCTCGAGTACTGGGAATGGTGTATATTTATAATATGGCGCGGTTGACTGAATGAGATTATAATTTTGAGCTAACGTGGATTGTATTATTTTGGCTACTTGATTATGCCGGGATAAGTAAGCACTATTGGCCAACATATTGCAGCTGGAGGTGATGTGTTCTATTGTTTCACCTGGCGTATGCCATTTTCTACATACGTCGTGTGTATTCAGGCCTAGTATATGGCGTTCATAGTTTCTAGTTCGAATAACCTTATCCTGAATAGCACATAGAAAACCCTCCGATTCCGGAAGTAGGTAGCCTTTCACAAAAATTGATAGTGAGGACTTTTTATCAATTCCATCTTTTTCAAGTGTTACAGGATATCTCCCGTGAAGGGCTTTCTCTTTCCATCTGTTGAGCAGGTCAGTCGACATCGGTATTGATCGATCTGAGGGTTCATGATTTCTGCCCAAATTCATGGGGGTAATGTTGCTGTCCATAGCTGTAATGCTTCTAATGTTTTGGCAATTGATGTTGCAAAAATATAGACGAAGCTTGGACACTCGCTCTTTGCAAAGACGCTCAACATTTATCAGTCCTCTTCCCCCAAGGGCTATAGGCATGTATACATACTCTTTCCGTGGCAGATTTTGGATGTAGCATACTAAATTTGGAGAGTAATTTTCTAGTTTCGCGATCGATTTCTGCTAGGTTTGTATCGCTCCATTTAATAACGCCAAAGCTAAATGACAGCACTGGCACAGCCCAAGCATTTATTGCCATTATAAGATTTCTTGAATTAAGTTTGGTGTTGAGGAGTTTTGTTATCCTGCTGATGTATTTTTGCTTTACGATTGCTTTTAAGTTGGTGGACATATGCTACTTGCGGCGGGTGCGGTCTTACCCCTATTCATTTTGAATATTCCACACTTATCCAACCCGAACCGCATGCCGATGTGCTCACTGAATATTTGTGTTGTAGGGATGAGGGATGACAAATGATCTTCTGACTGGGCAAACAGCTTTATATCATCCATATACATCAAGTGGGTAACTCTGTCATTGTGCTGCTTATTTACTTTGTAACCCGCTGAGCTCCTATTCAACAACTGTGATAATGGGTTCAGTGCAAGACAAAACCATATTGGGCTAAGACTGTCACCTCTGTTGATTTGGACGTTACCTAGCTTAACTTTGTCCACAAATAGCGTGTCCACTGTTTCATCCAAGTAGTTAAACATGTTCGTATTGCAGGGTTGATCTGATATAGGCCCAGCACCTTAAGTAACCAATCGTGAGGAACAGAATCAAATGCCTTGTTATAATCTATATAGCAAGTATACAGATTTCGTTGTTTAAGTTGGGCACTTTTAACTATGTGTTTAACTATGTGTATTATTACTGTATTATGGCATCTAACGTTAGCTGTTCCTTACAGCCTTTCGATTTTTTAATGCATCCCTTCTGTTCATCTGCAAATATCTGGTTGGCCTCGCAGTGTTCATAAATCTTTGAACTCAAAATAGCGGTTAAGAGCTTATAAAGTGTCGGTAAACAGGTTATGGAGCGGTAATTACTTGGCTGGAGCGGGTCTCCTTTCTTATACAATAGATATGTCACACCCTCGGTAAAGTATTTTCGAAGACTACTTGGGTCGCTAATGAGTCTAGAAAAGCATGTGGCCAAGGGACCGTGTAGAACATGCAGCTTCTTAATCCAGAAGTTCTGAATCTTATCAAGACCTGGGGATTTCCAGTTGATTAGCCTCTTGACTGCCTCCTTTGACATTATCGGTTGTGATGGAAACGTCTGGCATTTCAGTTAGTGATTTTGTGGAGTCTTGTATAGTAGTGAGCCAGGACGCTTGCTCATTGTACTTATGACTTATGCTCCATATGCTACTCCAATATTTATAAAAACTGTCTCGGTTTACATCTTTCGAAGTGGGGCTTATACCTTCTTTAAGGAGGGAGTTATAAAACATTCTCTGATTTATTGCAAACAGCTTGTTTTGTTCTTTATTATTATTATTATTATTATTATTATTATTATTATTATTATTATAATTATTATTGTTTTATCCAAAAAAACTCTTTGCTAAAAACGAATACCTTGTTAAACATTATTTGGTGATTACTGCCATTATATCATTGATACTTAATTTTTGAACGCGATGCTGTTGTTTTCAATTTTACGAGATTAAGACATGCTTAGCAAAATAAAAAAAACAGAATAACCTCGAACAATGAGGGTCACAAAAATGGGGAACTGCTCCTCACAGGCGTCAGTCCTACTTAAATTCACTTCGGAGTATCACGGCATACGGTTCCCCTCTATAGAATTAGAAATCATGTTGAGGAAATGAACGCGTGGCTTGGAGAAAATGGTCACCTACCAGCTCGATGGTTGAATGTAGTTATGTCTATGGCTAAATCCCCAAGAGGGTGAGCAAAAAGGCTCCGACCAAAAAATCACTAAGAGATTTCTATTACAATCTCCACCACCCGATAAATCCGCAAGCACTGCGTTTTAGACATCTAACAAATCTGGATAGTGAGCCGCGGAATTCCTACACCAGCGCACCGGAAATAGTACCAAGTCACCTTCGGCTCTCGTATTTACTGTCGGCAGAGATTATAAAAAATGACCTTTAACGAGATGGACAGTAGAGTATGATTTTCTACCACAAAATTATTAAATGAAATTCGATTTTTTTAAGAACTCCTATAAAATTATTAATCTAAATAAGAAAGGCGCTGTAAGAATTTAATTTATCAAGACACTGCTAATTTTTAGTCGATCACAAAAGAAACTGAAATCAGTTTCTGGCTCCATTAACATTTTCCTCCGGGATATTAGTACTACATTTTTAAAAATATCAAATAATATTTTACAAATGACAATTTGCGTATTTATATTAGGTTTATGTATACTAAGTGAAATATAAATCCGAACACCCAGTTTAAATGGTTTTATTTTAATAAAAGTTGGTGAATGTATTTATCTTACTGTAAATAACAAGTGAAAAAATGTTCAGCCTTATCAGTTGGACATTCCGGTTTTTATACTGCTTTTTTTAATTCACTAACGCTCTAAAAATGAATATTTCAGTCGCAGTAAAGAATCAACGTTGGCGGATTTTGGTTCTTCACATCCTTTACGATCGGTTACGATGCCTAGAGTACGGAGACCTGTACGATTTCGTCAACTTAGTGAGTTTGATAGGGGCCGTATAGTGGGACTTCGGGAAGCTGGACTTTCTTTTCGGGCAATTGCAGTTAGAGTGCAAAGAAGTGTAGACACTGTGGTTAGGTGTTGTCAGGCATGGCTTCGAGAAGGCCGTACGCAAAGAGCAAGGGGCACTGGACGCCGCCGTAGAACAACAGACCGTGAAGATCGCCGCCTAAGATTATTGGCCTTAAGGGACCGTTTCTCCACTACCAGGTCCATTGCAAATGAATGGTTTGCAGAACACGGAAGACCTATTGGCATGCGAAGTGTTTACCGACGAATGAGAAGTTTTGGCTTGTTTTCATACCGGCCACACTGGGTCCTCCCTTTAACTCGAGAACACCGACGTAATCGCCTTGAGTGGTGCAGACAACGGTCACTCTGGGATCAGGAATGGAACAGTATTGTCTTTAGTGACGAGTCTCGATTTTTTTTAGGCATGCACGATGGTCGTGCCAGGGTTAGAAGGCGACGTGGTGAAAGAAGGAATCCACAGTTTTTTGTTGAAAGACATGTTCATCACACTGTTGGAGTTATGGTTTGGGGTG